TATATATATAATATTTATGGGGTTGTTAATATTTAGGGCTCTCAGCCTATCAATTGAGGGCAGAGGTGAAGAGAGTTGGAGGAGTTGGGATCGAACAGGCAAGAAAGTGTAACTGTGCTGAGCAATGAACAGAGGCTTGGCCAGATCAAATGCAGGGAAAGGAGAAGCAGGGTCTAATGGCAGGGAGGCGCAGCAGGGATTACGAGGAAGTGGCGACTTCAGCGTGGGGCTTCACTGCAAGAGAGGCGCGGTCCGTCCGCGGCATGGTCGCGTGAACAGAGAACGACGAGGGTTTCGAGAGGCTAAGGCAGAGCGGCTCGCACAGATCTGCAGGGAGGAGTTAGACGAATGGAGGCTTCTGTTGCGGCTTACCGGAGCGACGGCTACTGTGCAGGTAGGATTGAACGGCTTTGTGCACAACGATCCCGTCAGTGCCTTTCACGGGCGCGGGAGAGGAAGCCTGGAATTTCGTGCTCCGTTATCCCATGGTTGCTCTTCCCGCTACCTTTAGTCCAGATGCCGCGAGAGAAATATGAGAGTTTCTTGAAAATCTCTGTACGTGACGATCCCGTGGTTGGTTTCCTGGGGAGATGAGGGTTTTCGTCGGTCGGGCAAAGCCGGGACGACAGAGGATTCGGTGCATGCTGAGAGAGATATCTGTAAACCCGCGATCCCGTCGTTGCCTTCTTAAAAGAATCATTTATAAATTATTCTTCTCTTTCAAAATATTACTCAATTCTCATAATTTGTGTTTGGAGTCCAATAATATAGTGTCACGTGTAAAGTGGGTCTGCTGTAATACATTGGGATTGGTCGATGTTAAAATTTATGGGGCTCACTTGACACATGGCACCCCATCATTAGACTCTGAATGCATCAAGAATACTGATGTAATATTTTTAATATTGACTTCTAGGTTGTACAAGAATCAACATACTCAATGAATAGTTTGAGCTCTGCTCAATTAATAACATTCAAATTTATTAAATGAATTTAAATAATTTTTGAAAACTTGACGGTTAAAGTAACAAAATTAAATATAATTCAATTTATCCATGTTCATAAATTAGTTTATTTGTTGTTCTAACAAATATCTTATCAAAAGTTTGATATTTGTATATATTTAATTAAAAGTAGGTGTAACGTAATTTATTTATTCATTCAATAACAATATATTATTATTAAAATCAAATTTATTATGGCTAATTATAAATCTATTTTATTTTAATGTATGTTTTTTTCATATTATAATTTTACAAATATCATAATTATTTTATTAACTTAAACATGGTAGATTTACTTAGTATACCACACAATTCTTATGTTTTTACAGATCTAACATCCAATTTAATATTTATATATATTTATAACACTCTGGTACCATAAATCTAAAAGAGTGTATTTCACATTTAATAGAATGATAATTGCAATACTTTTGATTTAATGTTAAAAATTTTAGTGGCATGCTGACATGCATGTACATATGAAAGTAATTACATTAGAATTTTGTGGTATGAAAGTAAATGTTCCAAACTTTTATGACTACCAAATTATTCTTGTGCATGTACATATGAAAGTTTAGGCATTAGATATTATGTAAATGCCTTTTTTATTAAGCTCATGCTAAGTTTGACAAGTGAGCCCGGGCTTAAATATAGGTGAAAGGAGAATAATTTGTAAGTATTCACTATTGGCTAAGATGAACCTTTACATTCCCCTCAACGTAATCTATCCGTTTCTTTTCAAGTCTTTAAAATGCTAGTATTCATGAGAGCTCATAAACTGGGAATAAGATGTTGGGCAGCTGATATAGCCAAGCAAATTATAAATTAGATTTGGCTGTCATATCATATATTTGTCATGTTTGATATGTTTAAATTTTATGCTTAATCTACTTATTAAATTAATACTATGGGGGTTTACATACCACATAGCATGCCACCCAATTCATATGTATTTACATATCTAATCTCTAAATTTTGATTTTTACATTTATACCACCCGAATCTTTCCTATCATATCAAAAATATTATCATTTTAACTTAAAAAAAAAAAAAGAATTACACTTTCCCATGCATGAACAATAAATCATAAGTTTAGGTGTTAGATAAGAATTAAGTGGCATGCCTGTTGATCTTCCTAATAAAAGAAAAAAATAGTGCAGATATGGTCCCTAACCTTAGTTTCATACTCCCAACTTATTTGGGTGCTGCTAAAACTTTTCTTTTTCTTTTCTTTTTGGGGGGATTTATATATATAGCGCACAAAACATGATACATATTTCAAACCAAAACTTCAAAATTTTAAATATTTAGGA